GAATTAACAGGATGTTGTTTCTATCCTCAAAAGCTCATTGAAGGGTGGAGCTGATAAGAAAGTCACCATCCCAACCCCTAGCAGTATGCACAGGTGCTGTGGGAACACAAAAATTAAACCAACAACCTGGAGAAAGAGAGCCCCCAAAAGCCTTTGTGAGAGGGCAGGGTAAGGAGAAGTAGAGATCAGGACATGTTTTCATATCTGAGTTCAGCCAAGAAAACAGAAGCCACTCTGAGTGCTTACAAGGGAAAGAATTCAATGCAGGGAATTGGCTACATAGGGGACAGAAGAGGCTGTGAAGGCAACCTGGTGGCAACGAGGGACTGAAAGCTGAGCAATCACAAGAAGCATTTGTCCCACATTGACTAGAGGGACAGAGGGAACAGGTGAGTTGCCAGAGTCCAGCGGTCACCTGGTAGAAGATATAACCAGGACAGGCATGCCGAGCGGGGCTGGCACTATGGAGGAGATAAGAGAGGGAGAAATAATTCTGGAGTCTTTTCTTTCACTCTCTAATCTGTCATCAGTACCTCCCTTAGGCTAAAGCCAGCAAGAAACCAGCTGACAAAGATCCTGGGAAACACAAGATCAAGGTCCCCATCCTGCAATATAGAGCAGAGCAAGGAATAGCCTTGAAGGCAAACAGACCCAAGAGCAACACAGCTTCTAGGCAGATGTTATGCTTCAGTGGTCTTCTTATTTTATTTTTCCAAAGGAAAAGCACTATTGTTAATTTCTGGGTTTATTTGTTTGGGAATGTTGAAGGAGGAGAAGGATGTTCCAGACAAGGGCATTGAGTTGGGAGAGAAAGTGGCTTACACAGAACACGGCAAGTTTGCCAGTGAGTCTGCAGCAAAGGGCAGGAGGAGGACCACGAAATACCCAGTGGCATCTGTGACAGCTCGGCTTGTTAGCGACCATTAACCCCCAGAGGCCAGGATAATACGGATTATAGGGCTAACACTGCAGAAATAAAGGCGTAGTCAGGTCTCCATACAGGTGCAGTGCTGCCCATCAGCAAATGGCTCTCCTACAAAGGAATACCAGGAAGGTTCCTTGATTGCCTTCAGTTCATTTAGACTCTTATCTCAATCGGCCACAAAGCCAGTGGGGACATCGATGCAGTCATTTTCATGAGCCTATTAGAAATTGTCCACCAACTCCACGGAGACATTCTTGTGGCCACTTCCGTGTTCAGAGGGCTGACTCCAAGATTTTCTCTATTCCCACATAATGGGAATAGTTGGGTCCATGACCTCACAGAAGTCAACCTAATGAGTGACAGTGTGAAGCAGGTGGGAGAAGATTAGGGAGCTAAGAAACCAGCCTGTCGTGAGGACAGTGGGGACCAAGGGCAAGAGTGGAGCGTCTCCTCAGGAGACAGGAGGCTGGGATGAGAGGGGTGAGGCATAAAGAGAGGATGAAAACAATGACATGATTTGTGGTCTGGAAAATGAGGCAGATTGTGGTTTCATTTGTGGGGACAGTAACTTTAGAAGGAGGGACGTATTAGAAACAAAGATGAAAACTTTGCTTTAGGCATCTTGAGTTTGATACTTACAGGTTATCAAGATAGAGATGCTCATTAGGAGGATGAAGACCTGGGTCTGTATTTTGGTAAAGAGGTCTGGAGATAAAAATTTGGGAGGAGCTGCTAGAGTAGACGAGGTCATTCAGGATCATGTTCAAAAAGTTTATGGTAACAATGAGATATCAATTCACACCTGTTAGAATGGCTAGTCTCAAAAAGACAAGAAATAACAAGTGTTGGTGAGTCTGTGGAGAAAGGGGAACCCTGGGTACTGTTTATGGGAAAGTAAATTGGCACGGCCACTAGGGAAAACAGTGTGCAGGTTCCTCAAAAAGTTAAGAATAGAATTACCATGTGACCCAGCAATTTCACTTCTGGTTATTTATCTGAAGAAAACAAAAACACTAACTCAAAAAGATACTTGCATTCCCCTGTTCACTGCAGCCTTATTTACAATAGTCCAGACCTGGAAGCAACCTAAATGTCCATTGAAGGATGAATGGATAAAGAAGATGTATACAATGGAATATTACTCAGCCATAAAAAAGAACGGAATCTCACTATTTACAACCACATGGATGGATGGACCTGAGGGTATAATGCTAAGTGAAATAAGTCCGACAGAGGAAGGCAAATACTGTATGACCTCACTTATATGTGGACTCTAAAAACAAAAACAAAACAAAAAACCAAGCTCACAGCTACAGAGCACTGATTGTGGTTGCCAGAGGCAGGGGTTTGGGGATTGGCAAAATGGGTGAAGGGAGTTATAAGGAAAAAACTTCCAGATATAAAATACGTAAGTCACAGGAATGTAATGTACAGCATGGTGACTGTGGTTAATACTGTTGTGTTCTGTAACTATGTGTGGTGATGAATGTTAACTAGATTTACTGTGGTGGTCATTTCACAATGCATACAAATATCGAATCATTATGTTGTATACCTGAAACATAATATTGTATGTCAATTATACCTCAATTAAAAAAAGTTTACAGCGAGCGAAGGGTAAGGAGTAGGGCTGTCAATAAAGGGGAACATGGTAGGGGGAAGGATATGTGATTTTCAAAGACGGGAAGGACTTGTACATATTTGTGTAATGAGGGGAAAGATGAGGAAATGTTGAAATTGTAAGAAAGAGGTGTTAAATAATGGGGAGATCCATCATAAAGATCGGGAATTGGGCTGTGAATCAGCAGTGGGATATCCTAGCCTCCAAGACTGAAGGTTAAGTGGTGGGTATAGATGTTGTGTGCAGGTAAGGGATGGTAGAGGAAAAAGGGGAGGGAGCTCACACCTGATAGCCTTGATTTTCTTTTTGGAGATATGAGTAGAGGTGTCACTAGATGAGGAATGAAGAGGTAGGAGAGTAACTAGGTTTCTGCACGGAAAGTCCCACGTCCTGCCCGGGGAACCCCTTCCGTCCTGGACAAACTAGGAAGTCTGGTCACTGTCAGGGTAGGGGAAAGGAAGGGGCTCCAGGGGAAGGTTGAATGTTAACGTCACGGTGGAAAATGGGAGAGGGGACTGAATGGCAGGAATGCAAAGCTTGCTGCCAAACATCAAGGACTTAAGTGGAACTAGAGACCAAGGGGCAGCATCTTGTACATGGCTGTGTGATGTTCTTCAGCAATGCTTAAGCGCTTTGAGTTGTCTTTCCAGGACAGCGTGTGTTAATTCAGCCAGAGGTGTGTTTGGAGGACTTTTTGCAATCATACGTATGCAGTATCAGAGGTCTCATTCTGGGGGTAGAAAAACAGTGAAACTCAGTGGCAGGGTTGCCAGAATAGCATCACCTGTTAGGGGGAAGATGTTGCTGTCAATGATGTACAATGTCGCTCTTTCTTTTTACATAATTGGCAAATGGCAGAGTTACAACATTCCACAGTATCTTGAGGCACTTCTGAGATACAGACATGTATTCACAATACATCGTCATCTAGAACAGTAACTTACAGACAGTAACTCATTAAGCAGTGTCTTGAGATAAGAAGCAGGGAGCTAAAGGTCCTAACCCAGCATCAACTCCTGATACCTACTTGCAGGCTCTCTCCGCATGCTCTGCTCGAGGCATGCCATGGGAGTATTTTGCCTTTATCATTGGCTAAATTATATACTTTTACACCTGGTAGCTTTTGGATTTGTTGGTTATAGAAACAAAGAGAAAGGTAAATATAGGTTGTCTAGTTGGTAACAGGGCAAATTGGGCAATGAGCTCCAATAAGCAGATTCAAGTAAATATCTGGGGGATTGCCTTTTCTTTTTGAACCAAATGAAATTAGATAGCTCCCAAGTAGGTAAAGAGGTGTTTTCTCTAATTTTTGCTCTATAATTAGAGCAAACCACTACCTCTAAACTTACAGTATGGGACAGAAACAGGGTACAAGAAGAACTCAAATGACATGGGTTTGGTGAAAATCTGAAACTCAGCTTGGTTTGGGGGAAGCCACTCAAATTTCATCTGAAGTTTGATGCAGCTTGGATCAAAACCTCCCCTGAATAAGCTGAGGATTCGGGCAATAGGAGTGTTATGGGCTGAATTGTGTCCCCCCTACATCCATATGTCAAAGCCCTTAACTCCTGGTACCTCAGAATGTGACTGTATTTGGGGATGGGGCCTTTAACGAGGTAATTAAGGTTAAATAGGCCATAGGGGTGGGCCCTAACCCGATATGACTTATGTCCTTAAAAGAAGAGGAAATTTAGACACAGAAGAGACATCAGAGAGGGAGGATCATGTGAAGACCCAGGAAGAGGCAGCCATCTACAAGCCAAGGAGAGAGGACTCAGAAGAAATCAAACCCACCAATAGCTTGAATTTGGACTTTAAGCCACCGGAACTGTGAGAGAATGAATTTCTGTTGTTTACCTCTACTCTCACCTCCACCCAGTCTGTGGTATTTAGTTTTGGCAGCCCTAGCAAACTAATACAGGGAGATTTCATTTGAATCTCTCAACTATTTGAGAAATAGTAGACACATCAGGTTTTTTTTTTTAAATATAAAAACAAATGTAGGTGATATCTTCTAAGAAAATCCTGCATTTACCTCCATTTTATTTATTCATCCAATTTATCAAACACTTCTGCAGTGCTTACCATAGGAGGTGATTCATCCCTCTTCTCTGCTCCTGGCTGTCTCTGAACCTCATCCAACTCCCAGTGCATCCACACCTGCATGAACTCTATTCGAGTCATTTTTAAAATACACTATGTTTCAAATGACATTGCTGCCTTTTTTTATGAAGTTTGGTTATGGGGTTTGTAGGCAGCGTTTTCATTATGTTTAGTAGGAATTAAACCTTCATCTGAACACAAAGGTTAAGTTAATGGTTTCACTTCCTTCATTCCTGTGAAAGGTAGGCCAGTCATCTCATCTGGTTAATTCTCTTTAGTATTTAGAATATCTCAGATTGATTCTGATGTTTGGCACTTTTAATTAAAAATGATTTTCTAAAATTCTCCTAGGCACATGATGTTGACAAGAGAATCTCCATGGCATCAAGTTGTATGTTTCTGTGAATAATACGTTGATATCAGATTCTACCAGAAATGTTTCAGAAGACAAAAAACAGCTCTGACTTTGCTTTGCGAATGTATCGGTAACTGTTGACTTAGAACAATCTTTCCTGAATTGTAAATTCTGCTTTAGAAACAGCCGCAGCTGAGGTACCAAACCTGCTACGAGCAGGGGAATGTTCGGTAAGTGCCTATCTCCAGTGAATTTTCCTGTCATTGCTCTTGGGAATAACACTGGGGACTGGGAGTTGGGAAACTTGAGGAATCCTAGCATCCTCGCTTTTTTATGTGACTTTGGTGAAGTCAGTCACGGTGAGCCTCAGTTTATTCGCTCTTAAAATTGGGATGAATGCTGTGTTTCAAGCCTGCCTTACAGGTGCTTGTGAGCATAAAATTAAATAAGGAATGTCTTTGTAGTGCTTTTTAAAACATGCTATACAGGGCGCCTGGGTGGCTCAGTCGGTTGGGCGACTGCCTTCGGCTCAGGTCGTGATCCTGGAGTCCCGGGATCGAGTCCCGCATCGGGCTCCCTGCTCGGCGGGGAGTCTGCTTCTCCCTCTGACCCTCCTCCCTCTCATGCTCTCTGTCTCTCATTCTCTCTCTCGCAAATAAATAAAATCTTAAAAAAAAAAAACAAAAAAACAAACAAACAAAAAAAACATGCTATACAATATATTTAAGTCTTATTATTACTGCAGTTGCCACTAAATGGTTTCACTTAATGGCCCTTTTATGTTGCTTTCTCCCTTTGTAAATGAAGTAGCTCCTGGGCTGCCTTCAGGATGGAGATCACAGTAAACGGGAGGCTCTCTCCCGTGATGAGGGTTTGGAGCTGGACTCCTGGTTTACCGTGTTTCAGGGAATGGCTCTTGAAGTTTGGGGTCGACTTTTGCTTTCAATCTTCCATTAGGCAGTGATTTTTTTCCTATGAATTTCCCCAAGATTTAATTTCTGAAAGGCAATATAAATGTTACCCCAGGTGGAAATCTTCTAGAACCTAACGTCAAGTTACATGCAGTGTATGGAGATGTGTCATCTCAAAGCGTGGTGAGAAAGGCTGCTTCCCCTATGGCTGCCTTTCCGAAAGCTTGTCAAACTCCGAGGGTTTCTGATTGCAGCTCTGCTGTAGAACATTTTTTCTGTTTCTATATAACAGAATAATTACTAAAAGTAGGAAATTTAACATAGATGCAGTACTGTTCTCTAATCCACAGTCCATATTCAAATTTCATCAATTGCCACAATGACATCCTTTATATCATTTTTTCTGACCTAGAATCGAATCCAGGAGCATACATTACATTTTACTTGTCATCTCTCTTTAGTCTCCTTAAATCTAGAACAAACAGTACCTTGGTCTTTCCTGACCTTGACCTTTTTGAAGAGTACAGACAAGTTATTTTGTGAAATGTCCCTTAGTTGAGGTTTGTCTGATGTTTCCTTATGGTTGGATTCAGGTTGTGCATTTGGGGCAGGAGCACCACAGAAGAGATGCCATGCCCTCTGTCCGTGGTATCAGCTGGCTCACAAAGTCAGCCCCAGCAGGGATGATAACTTGGTTCCTTGATTAAGGTGTTGTCTACCGAGCAGGAAAGAGTTTGAGATTATTATGTAATATCCTGTTCCTTATCAAACCTTTATTCACTGGTTTTCACATCCATTGATGATCTTCTAATTCTATCATTTTAATATATTAGTTGGCATTCTTTTTTTTGAGAGAGAGAGAGAGCACAAGAGTGCGCTTGCTCACGTGAGCTGTGGTGGGGAGGGGCAGAGGGAAAGGGAGCGAAAGAATCTTAAGCAGGCGGGTTGCTCGCTCTCACAACCCTGAGATCATGACCTGAGCTGAGATCAGGAGTGGGTGGCTTAACCAACTGAGCCACATAGGTGCCTTGATGTATTATTTGGCATTCTATTAAAAGGAAGGGCTTTTTCTTTTCCCTCCTTTATTTATTTATTTATTTATTTATTCATTTACTTAATCAATATGGACATGGATTCTTTTTTTTTTTAAACGTTTTATTTATTTATTGGAGAGAGAGAGAGAGCATGAGGGGGGGAGGGTCAGAGGGAGAAGCAGACTCCCTGCTGAGCAGGGAGCCCGATGCGGGACTCGATCCCAGGACTTCAGGATCATGACCTGAGCCGAAGGCAGTCGCTTAACCAACTGAGCCACCCAGGCGCCCTGGACTTATGGATTCTTATTTAATGGGTTCTGCTTCATTACTGCGTTATTTCTTTTGATGTTCAAATTTCTCGGGCATGGCCTGCGGGAGGCCCTCCCACTACCTTCTGTGTCTTTCTCAGGTGACCTAGAGGAGGCTTAACTTGGTACCTTCCATGGTGGAATGGAGGCTGAGCTCGGCAATCCTGTTCACTTGCCAAGCTCAGGAACAATAAACTTTCCATCCAAATCCTTCAGGGTTCTAGCACATCCCTGGAGGGAGTCCGTGTGGTCAGTTGAGGAGCATGAAGGAGACTGAAGTGTGCTTAGTTAGAAGAAAAGCCTGCTGGGAGCCTTTCATTTTGGGTCCCCAATGGTGGCTTTCCCAGAAATGCTCCCCACTAGAAAGTGAAGCAATGGGTTTCCTAATTTCTGGCTTCTGTCTAAAACAGGTTTTTGAGCCAGTTAATTGAACATAAATTACAATTGACCTTGGAGGGATTAACTCGCATTTTGGGGTCACTCAGCTGTATAGCTATTTGGGTGCTTTCTGACCGCCTGGGCTTTTATATACTTTTCAGCTAAGTTAGAGATGAAAATGTACCACTCGGAGACATTACAGGAATTGTTGACCTTCTCTGGTCAGTTTGAGGTCAAGGAATTAATGTAGAGAATTACCAGAAGATCTATAAATACACATATTTCTTACATGAGAGGTTTCATTAAAAAAATAATGTTCATCTTACTTAACTATTTCAGGACCATGTATAATATTTGTCATGTCATATAAAGGAAATTTTAGTTTGGGGCCCAATAAAAATAACATTTAAATTAAAATTAAAAAAAACTACACTGGCAATAGGTTTCCTAAAATTCCATTGCTATTGAACCCTTTTGACATTTGAAATAAATTGGATGATAAACCCCATATTTAAAAGGAGACTTACTATTATAGCCTGTGTCCTAAATTTTGCTCTGCCTCTTTGGTGTATTGAGAGGTTGAATTAGAAATTGGTATGCCAGCTTCCTTCTGGGGAATGAGTAGAAAGAGCATGACCTTTGGAAACACAGACCTGGGACCAAATAGTGCTGCTGTGATTGATTTGTTCTCTCTCTTTGGCAAGTGCTTTTGTGACTCCAAGCATCGGTTTCCTCATCTGCGTAGAAAGGTTCATAGCTCGGGGCACCTGGGTGGCTTGGTCGGTTAAGCGTCTGCCTTCGGCTCAGGTCATGATCCCGGGGTCCTGGGATTGAGCCCCGCATCGGGCTCCTTGCTCAGTGGGAGGCCTGCTTCTCCCTCTGCCTCTGCCCCTCCCTCTGCTCATGGTCACACACACTCTCTCTCTCTCTAATAAATAAATAAAATATTAAAAAAAAGAGAAAGTTTCGTAACTCGTAGGATCAGTGGAAGGAGTAAAAGCAATATAAAATTTCTAAGTATAAAACAGTGCCTGGCACAGAGGAGGCCCCAGTGATTGACTTCTACTCCTTCCCATCCTTCTTCTCACAGCATAACAATCACTACCATTCATTGCCCACCATGTGCCAAACTTTGACCTCAGTGCTTGACATGCACTACTTGTGAGAGAGGAATTATTTCCAATTTACAGATGAGAAAACTGAACCCTGAAGAAGTTAAGGACCTTTGACCAAATGTTGGTGCTGGGATTTCAGGTTTCATGCCAGAGTTCAAGATCTTAATCATTCTGCTCTCCTTCTACTTGTAACTATGACTCTTAGAGCATGCACTTTTCATAAATTAGGAGTCTACATGATATTATTAAGTAGATACAGTTGAGAGCCCTAATTTGTAGTAAGGGAGAATTAAAAACCTGGGCTAGAAACAGAAGGTAAGAGTGCAGGAGAAAAGACAGGGAAAAGTTGAGACATAGTACTTAGTAGGCAAACAAAGTGAACACCACCCTCTGTATCTCTGTGGCATTTGGTTGCTTATCTTGTTCTAAATAGGTTTAAAACATGCATAATAATAGTCCTAATAGCTACTATTTACTGAGCATATGTGCTTTGTGTAATTCCTACTTTAATATCATAGGTAACTGTATGAAGCGTAAGTCTTCCCTCATTTTGGAGGCCAAGAAACCCAGGATAAAAGGGTTAAGGAGTAAGGTAGGCTTCCCATTCCAAACCAGGCCTGTGTGACATCAAAGCCCCAAGCCCTACTGCTCTTCTATGCTGTTTCCTGTATTTAGCATAGATGCCAACCAACTCTCTGGATGTCTAGTGTTGCCACACCTCAATTTTCACCCCTGTAATGTCTCCAGTGAGCTGAAAGAATTGGCAACAGATGTACACTTTATTTTATAGTGTGGAAGTTGGTTTGTACCAGAGTCCAGTGAGGTCCAGCCCCTGAGACTTTAGCACTCTACCCATCACTACTCATATTCCACAGTTTGGCATTAGGGGTAGCCTTCATCGGCAAACCTCTTCTCCCTTCTAAGGAGAAAAAGATGTGTTCTTGGAATAGTCCTTGAAAAATATTTCACACCCTAGTTGTTTAAGCATTCCTGTGGCAGAGGCTGCTTCTTGTCTATTCCAGTATCTACTTCCCTCTGCCTGACGAAGAGAACTTCAGTCAGGTCTCTTGCCACCAAGAGTTACAGATAGTTCTCAGCGTCTCCTGTAGCTAAGTGTGGTCATCTGATAGAGCTCTGACCAAAGAGCAGAAGCGCTCTGTGGGATTCTGGGAAAGCTGCTTAAAAGGAGTTGACTCAGCTAGGAGGAAACCCTCTTGTCCTTCTGTTATTCCTACTTTGTTAATGCAGCAACTGAGAAGTAATAGCTCAAGTTCTAGCTTGAACCATGCGTTTATCTTGAGGATGGAAACCACCTCAAGGATGGTAGAGCAGAAAGATAGGAGGCTGATGACAACTTGGAGTCACTCTACCAGTCCTGGGCTGCCTACCTTTATTTTTACATAAGAAGGAAATAAACTTCCTCCCATCCTCTCTTCCTCCCTCTCTTCCTTCTTTTCTTCCTCCTTTCCTTTCCTTTCCCTTCC